ATGATTTTGAGTTTTGTTCCATATTGTTCCCTAACTCTATCCAGGATCTCCCGCACTGATCCCTTTCTGAGTGGTTGACAGTGGTAGCTGGGCACCATCTAGTTCTTCTGGTCTCAGGGCCCGCTAGTCCCTTGAACTAATTGTTTCCATGTGTCTTTAGTTTTCTTCATTATTTGGAAGAGGATAGACACCCATCATTGCATCTAGAGGGCTACTTGCAAGCTTTTCAGACCCCAGTTGCTACTCACCAAAGTAGGATGTAGAACAATGTTTTTATGTAGTAGGGCGCACCCTTGGGCCACTGATGGGACCACCAGGTGTGTAGTGGGAGACCTTCCCTCCTCAGGGTCCCAGTTCATCCCTGCCCTGCAACTCTGTGTCCATACCTTTCCCTTCATGCTCTGTCCCGGTTGGCCCTCTGCAAGTCATTGTTTTTTGCCCAGAGACCCCCTTGGCCCCACCCCTCTGTGTCTTGCCCTTTTCTGTGTCCGTCATTGTGTTCCCTTGGGACCCCAAGCCTTTGGGAAGCATGCCACTGGGTCAGGTACCCGAGTCTCACCTCTCAGCTTCTCTAATGTTATGCTACAGTCCCTATAATCCAGCCCCTTCCGTTCCGGCACGCCCCTTAGTCCCGCCCCCACCATCCTTCCCTTAGGCCTCACCCCTTTGGGGCGCTGCCGCTCAGGCTCCGCCTTCCTCATGGACTCCGCCCCCTCACTCAGCCAATGGTCCGCAGGCTGTTGGGCTCGCGGTCCCCGCCTCACCTCTCTATCCATTGGCTCACGCGGGCGTCGGGGCGGGAGGCGGTGCCGCGCTGCGCCGCGCCGCGCCGAACGGGACGGCCGCCATCTTGCGCGGAACCGGAGTCGTAACCCAAGGCCGAGGACGAGTGTGCGCGCTAGCCGGCCGCCTAGCGCAGCCGGCCCAGCAGACCTCTCTCTCGCCGCCTCTCCGCGTCCGCCCCCGGCGCCCAGCCCCTCAGCCCGGCCCGGTCCGGCCTCCCCGCGGGGTCACGCGGCCGCCCTGGGGACGATGAACGGAGGATAAATGAGGCCCAAGGCAGACAGCGGTGCCTTCCTGCTGCTTTTCCTGCTCGTGCTCACCGTCACCGAGCCGCTGCGGCCAGGTGTGCGGCGCGGTGGGGACGGTGTGTGGGGGCGGGGGCGCGGTCGGGGTCTCCCGGGGCCCTTTCCCCACCCGACCCGGACCTCCTTCCGTCGGGAAGGGGCCGGCCGAGGCCTGGCTCTCGGGCAGCCACGCACCCCCTGCCCGGTACCGAGCTGTGAGTTTACCTGAGTCCAGAACGCCCTGTACAACGTGGAACTTCGTTCGCGGAGGATGTGCCCTCGCATCCACATTTATCCAGAGCTGAGTGCTTGGCGACGGACGAAAGCGAGAATGATTTGTAGGGTCGACTGAACTTCGGGGGCCTGGGCGCCCTTTAGACGAGGCGCTGCGCCGCTTGGGCGTGCCCTCCTTGCGGGTCCAGCGTCTGGTGTCAGGCTGGGGGCCTGGGGGCGAGACGCAGCGCGTGGACGCACCTGGTTCCTTGTTCCCACCTTTAGTGGCTTCATGCCAGCGTCTCAGCCCAGGGACCTAACTCCTCGGCTGAAAGGCGGGAGGTCTGCCCTTCTTGTCAGTGGGGTGTTCCATCTGAGAAGCGCTCAGCTCGGAGACAGGCCCGCACGAAGTACCAGGAGGGCGAGAGGCGTCCTGGGGACAGACCGACGTGCTGCCTTGCCTTCGTGTCCAGAGCGTGAGCAGTGTCAGGCAGTTAGGGGTGCTGGATGTGTGCCGGGAAAATTAAATGTTTCTGGAACCCCCTCTGGAGCTTTTGTTTTTATAAGTAAGTCCGTGGTGGAGTTTCGGACGGTTCTGGGTAATTTTTCTTTACCTGTTCTTGGTGTCCCCTCCTCCCTTGAACTGTACCAAGACGGTCACACATTCCCAGGTGCAGGGCTATTTGATCATTCAGGCGCAGGAGATAGAGTGCTTGCTTGGAACCCACAGTGTAAAACAACCAAATCCCCTACCGTTGAGTCGATTTTGACTCTTAGGGACTGCCATAGCGTTTCCAAGGCTGTCAGATCTTAAGGAACTTGATTGCCCCACACCATCATCCTCCCACGTAGCAGCTGGTGAGTTTGAACTGCTGACCTTCTGGTTAACGGCCGAGTGCCTTACCTACAGCGCCACCAGAGCTTAAAATCCGAAGGCAACACCTAATTTTTCGTTGAACGCAATTCTTAGCATTCATTTTTCTACTGAAAAGTATTGCTGATATTTTTGGAAGGAGGAAGGGGCCCACGAAATCAGAAGTGTCCAGGGCCAACTGGTGTGTGGAGGCAGACTTGGGGTTCATGGGTGTGGAGGGTTGGTGACACCCCTGCATCTCTGGGCTCTGTGTCCTTGCCGTTTGCATGGAATTCTCTGTCTTCTCCCTGGTGTCAACCTGGCAGCCAAGGCCCAGCCAACACTCAACCCAGAGTGGCCAGCGACCCTTGTCTTGTTCACCCACTGTTTGCTGGGTGGCTGTGTGAGCTGTTGGGAGGAACAGAAGCCAGGACAGAGACGCCTGTGTGTGGGGCACGGTGTGGGCTGTGTGATTAAGCACTGCAGGTATGAACCTGTGCAGGTGGGGGAGCCATCGATACACATGTGGTGTCATGACGTTGACTGCAGTTCCCCACAATGAAACAGCTCCCTTCCCACTTCCGCCCTGTGGTTACCTGCTCCCTGCGTCCTTCCCTCCCATGCACTCCCGCCCCCTGAGCTGTCTCCCTGTGCAAACACTGCCCTTCTGTTTTCCCGTGATTGATCGCTGTAAGGAGCGTTTCTACCTGATGTAAATGTTCACCCTATATATGCCTGTTTGTTGTTGGGCTGGAAGCCACAGGAGTGAGTTCAAGTCCAGACTTGGAGAGCAACAAGGGGCCATAGTCTTGGGGGTCTCACCAGGCTCTGAGACCAGTCAACCTGGTCTTTTTTATGATTTTGGGTTTTGTTGCACATTGTTCTCCCACTCTGCCCAGGGTCTCCTGCACTGATGAAAGGCTTCGTGTCTTGAGTCTCAGTGTGCAGGCCCCAGGTTTGCAGACCTGGTCACTGGGCTGTGACAGGTAGAGGCACTCGTGTTTCTCGTGGTCCACTGCTTCCAAGTGTAGCCTCTCCTGCCTGCACGGTACAGGTGACTGATGTCCAAGACTCCTTTCCGCTCATCAGTCTGTCCACAGACTTGTCATCCAGCCGGCAGCGATTCCGAAAGCAACTGTGAGTGTTCACTGGGTGCCCGGCACCAGGGATACTTACATGAGGAAGAAGGCAGTCCTTGTAGGATCGTCCAGTGTGGAAGCAGAGAGTGGGTGGGAATCCACCAGGGAGTCCCGCTAGTTAGTAAGGGAGTGCAGAAGTGGGCCAAGCAGTGGCCAGCCATTTGTCCCTGGTGAAGCGTCTCCCTGGGACACCCCACACTTGGGTCTGAGTTGGGTGAAATAGCTGCTAGAGGAAGCCGAGTAACCCTCCAGGTCCATGACTCTCCAGAACTGAACTGCACAGCTGCCCTGGGGGTGTCCTGAGGGCCCTGGGGAACCTTGGCTCCCGCTGACCACAGGCCAGCAGTTGGCAGTGAGCACGGGTCTCCCGCTGCTCTGGGGTCTGTCTCACGTGCTGTGTAAGCCCCTCCCCACACCAGCTTCTCTGCTCGGAGCCTGGGTTCTTTCCACCGGGGGCCCCAGCTTAGAACCAGGGTTGAGTGTGAGGAGAGGACTGGCCAGCTCCTTGGTTGACCAGATGGGGAAGTCTCCCCTGCCTCCTGCCAGGTGGAGCCCCTGAGAACAAGGCCAGGCTGCTTCCCACTTCTCTGTGATGGCAGGGCCCTTCCGAGAGTGAGGGACAACTCGACCTCCTGCCAGGGTTTCTCTTAAGCGCATGCTTGGTCTTAATGACAGTAATGGCCAACGTTGATGGAGGAGATGTGAGGTGCTGGTGGTTCTAAGCACTGACAAGCATTGAGTAATTTACTTCTTGTGTGGTGTACTGGATAAGGCATTTTTGGCTGCTAACCAGAAGGTCACCAGTTTAAACCCAGCAGTCACTCTGCAGAAGGAGGATGGGTCAGTCTACTTCCATGAAGATCTACAACCTCAGAAACCCAGTGGGGGTCACTGTGAGTCAGAATTGACTCAGTGGCAGTGAGTTTGTGGTTTTTTTTTTGGGGTCGTCTCTAAAGTAGGCACTTTTATTAGTCCCGCTTTATGGATGGGGAAATTGAAAGTGTTCTTGAAGCTGAGGGGCTGGGGTGACATTGAAACTCTAGACACCTGGCCTGCCCCCACATCCACCTTGGCTGGTGCCCTGTCTGCATTAAGGCTTCCAGCCCCAGTATAAGCGGAACTCAGCTCACATTATACACTTTGAGGGCCCCGGCTGCCCGCGCCCCTTTCTCTCTTAGCCGGTCTCTAAGCCTGGAGTGGGGGAACCTCCTTCCATCCACACAGTCTGGTCTGCGGGGTGGAGCCGCTCCTTCCCCCCACTTCCCTTCTGTGGTTAGTTGCCATAGCCAGTGGTGATGGGTGTTACGTCCACTGGAGTGTGGTGAGGAAGGAGAAGTTGGAGACTTCTGCTGAGGGGACAGTAACAGGGTGGACGGTTGGAGGCTCCCACCTGATAGAACGTAGTTGGCACTTTTGTCACATATATAGGAACGCAGTATCAGTTGCGGGCCTCAGAAAGTTTTTCTAACCTTAGTCCTGAAACAAAAGTCAGGCCCTGGTTTCAGCCACAGCTCTGTCCATGGGAGGTGGGGGCCCTTTGATTTAGCTGAGAACTTGTTTGCCTTCCACGCAGGCGCAGGCGCTGTCCCACCACAAAGACTGTGCTGGGCGCGGCTTCCCGGTGCGGGAGCAGCCCCGGACACTGTCCTCACCACATAGTTGCAGAAGCTGGCTGGGAGGAGTGCAGTGACTTGCTTGAGGTCCCCCAGCGGGTGAGCAGTGCAGCTGGGATGTGCCCCCAGGTGAGCTGGCTCAGAGTTCAGGGTTCTCCCCTGTCCCAGGTGGAACCCGGAGGCCACCTCCTGTTGGTCCAGCTGACTGAGAACAGCATCTTGAATCTGAAGGCCACAGTTTTCCTTCCTGTGGAATGGCCCCTGTGCTGAGGGTCAGGAAGACTCGGGATGTTCTCATTGCCTGCGGAAGACGCCGACATGCACAGAGGTGGCTGGACAGTCGAGGAGCCTGAACCTGGCCCGGCGGCGTTCCTTGCACAGCCCGCTAGCCAGTGTCACACTGTGGACTTGGCCCTGCTGGCAACTTCTACTCCTGACTAACCCTTTCATTGTTTTTGATTGGAAAGTAGTATATATGTTCCACCTTTGTTAGCTAATGTGTTATCTTTTGTGTCTTTAAAAGGAAAAAAAAATTAAATTTGTTAATAATTTCAAACTTACAGAAACATCGTAAGAATAAAACTCTAGTGGAAAGAAGTGCTGTTAGCCAGCGTATACTGAGTTTTCCCCGTTGCTAGCGTTTTATCTTACCTGCTTCCTCATCTGTTCCCACGTGTTGCTTTGTGTGTAGATAGGTGCATTCGAATATGGTATTTTTTTCTGAGCCATTTGAGAGGAAACCCTTGGCCCTAAGCATTGAGGCGCCACAGAGAGTGGATGGAGGTGCCTGGTCACCCTGTGTGGTGCATGGTGCCCGCTGCAGAAAGTACATAGAGGCACCCAGTCAGCCTGAGTGGTGCGTGGGGCCCAGTCAGCCCTGTGTGGTGCATGGTGCCCAGTCAACCCTCTGTGGTGCCCACTGCAGAGAGCACATGGAGGTGCCCGGTCAGCCCTGAGTGGTGCGTGGTGCCCGGTCAGCCCTGTGTGGTGTGTGGCACTAGTCAGCCCTGCGTGGTGTATGGTGTCCACTGCAGGAAGTGTGTAGAGGCACCCATTTAGCTTGTGTGGTGCCCACTGCAGAGAGCACATAGGTGCCTGGTCAGCCCCGCGTGGTGTGTGGCACGTGGTCAGCCCTGCGAGGTGTGTGGTTTCCGCTGCAGAGCGTGTAGAGGTACCTGGGCACCCTGGGTGGTATGTGGCACCTGGTCAGCCCTGCGTGGTATGTGGTGCGTGACTGCGTC